TAGGTCACTACAATAAAGCAAATACAGCAAATACAGCGATAAAGTGAATCACACATGTTTTGGTTTCCTGATGCATGTAAAAGTTATGTTTACACTGTTCTATAGCCTATTAAGTGTGCAATAGTGTTATGTATAAACAAGCAGTGTACATATCTTCATTGAAAAAATACTTTATTTCTAAAAAATGCTACCCACCATCTGAGGCTTTAGCAAGTTGTAATCTTTTTGCTATGGAGGATCTTGCCTCAGTGTTGACAGCTGCTAACTGATCAGGGCGGTAGTTGCTGAAGTTTGGGGTGGCTGTGGCAATTTCTTAAAACAGAATAAAGTTTTCTAACGTCAATAGATTCCTCCTTCTGCGAAAGATTTCCCTGCAGCATGCGATGCTGTTTGGTAGCATTTTACCATCAGTAACATTTCTTTCAAAATTGGAGTCAATCCTCTCAAACCCTGCTGTTGCTTTTTCAAGTAAGTACATGTAATATTCTAAATTCTTTGTTGACATTTCAACAATATGCACAGTGTCTTCACCAAGAGTAGATTCCATCTCAAGAAAATGCTGTGCTCATCCATAAGAAGCAACTCCTCATCCATTCAAGTTTTATCATGAAATTGCAGCAATTGGGTCACATCTACAAGCTATTTCTAATTCTAGTTCTCTTGCTGTTTCCATCACATCTCCAGTTACTTCTTCCACTGAAGTCTTGAACTCCTCAAAGTCATCCATGACAGTTGACATCAACTTCTTCCAAACTCCTGTTAATGTGATATTTTGAGTTTTCCTACATACCATAAATGTTTTTAATGGCGTCTGAAATGGTGAATCCTTTCCAGGTTTTCAATGGACTTTGACCAGATCCATCAGAGGAGTCACTATCTATGGCAGCTATAGCCTTATGAAATGTATTTTTTTTTTTTTTTGAGATGGAGTCTCACTCTGTCGCCAGGCTGGAGTAGAGTGGCACAATCTTGGCTCACTGCAACCTCTGACTCCCAGGTTAAAGCCATTCTCCTGCCTCAGCCTCCTGAGTAGCTGGGACTACAGGCGTGCACCACCGTGCCCAGCTAATTTTTTTTTTGTATTTTTAGTAGAGATGGGGTTTCATCATGTTGGCCAGATGGTCTCGATCGCGTAACCTCGTGATCTGCTCGCTTCAGCCTCCCAAAGTGCTGGGATTACAGGCATGAGCCACCATGCCTAGCTGAAATGTATTTCTTAAGTAATAAGATTTGAAAGTTGAAATTACTCCTTGATTCATGGGCTACAGAATGGATGTTGTGTTGAACAACATTCATCTCATTGTACATCTTTGTCAGAGTTCTTGAGTGACTAGATGCACTGTCAGTGAGCAATAATATTTGGAAAGGAATCTTTTTTTCTGAGCATTAGGTCTCAATAGTGGACTTAAAATATTCAGCAATCCATGCTGTACACAGATGTGCTGTCATCCAGGTTTTGTCGTTCCACTTAAAGAGCACAAGCAGAGCAGATTTAGCATAATTCTTCCCAGAGTTTTCAAAATGACAAATAAGCATTCGCTGCAATGTTAGGTCACTAGCTGCAATAGCCCCAATCAAGAGAGTCAGCTATTGCTTGAAGCTTTGAAGTCAGGCACTGAATTTTCTTCTCCAGCTATGAAAGTTCTGAAGAGCATCTTCTTCTAATATAAGGCCGTTTTTTTTGTCCACAGACAATATGCTTCTTGTAGCCATCTTCATCAACGATCTGAGCTGGCTTTTCTGGATAATGCTGCAGCTTCTCCATCAGCACTAGATGTTTCACCTTGTACTTTTATGTTGTGGAGATGGCTTCCTTCCTTAAGCCTCATGAGCTGACTGACCTCTGTTAGCTCCAACTTTTCTTCTGCAGCTTCCTCATCTCTCTCAGCCTTTGTAGAATTGAAGAAAGTTAGGGCCTTGCTCTGGATAGGGCTTTTGCTTAAGGGAATGCTGTTCCTGGCTTGATCTTCTATTCAGGTCACTCAAACTTTTTCCATACCAACAATAGGGCTGTTTGACTTATCGTTTGTGTGTTCACCTGTGTAGCACTTTTACTTTCCTTCAAGAACTTTTCCTTTGCATTCACAAGTTGGCTGTTTGCTGCAAAAGTTAAGTTTGGTACAAAAGAAAAGTTCTTGGAAATTAAAAGTGCTACTCTGCTACCTTGGTTTTCAACACGTTTTCCCTGCTAAATTTAATCATTTTTAGAATTTGATTTAAAGTGAGAGATGTGTGACTTCTATTTTCACTTGAACACATAGAGACCATTTTAGAGTTACTAATTGACCTAATTTCGGTATTATTGTATCTCAGGGAATAGGGAGACCTGAGGAACAGGAGAGAGATGGGGAGTGGCTGGTTGGTAGAGCAGTCATGATAAAACATACATTTATTAAGTTCATCATCTAACGTGAATGCAGTTCATGGCATCCCCCAAAAATTACAATAATAGCATCAAGGATCCATCACAGATCACCATAATAGATAAAATATGAAAAACTTTGAAATATTGTGATAATTGCCAAAATATGACATGGAGACATAAAGTGAGCACTTGTTGTTGGAACATTGGCACCAATAGACTTGCTTAACACACAGTTGCCAGAAAAATCTCAATTTGTACAAAACGTAATATCTGCAAAGCATTATAAAGTACAATAAAATAAAATATGCCTTTATTCAATGTTTTTCAACCAGTTGTAGTCATTATTGTTTTCACATCCTCAGATGTCACATCAGTTGACAATGGAAAACCCTCAAGTGGATCTGTGTGTTCTGCTGGTATTTTCCTTGCTTTCTGGTATAAGCATGTCATAGAACCCCAAATTTACGCTAGTGTTCCCGGTGTGCAGCTGAGGCCAAACACTGACACAAAGGTGCTTGGAGATAGAGAAGGGTTTTATTTGATTTGCCCAAAATGAGATGGGAGGGCAAAAATCTCTTAAATCCACCTTAACAAAAAGAAGAGTCAGGGAGTTTTTATTTGGTTGGAAAGCAAAGGATGGGGAGTTTCAGGGAATCCAGGGAAAGTCTATTTCTTCAGTCTGAGATAACACCGTGAACAACCAGACTTCTGGGCATCAGCAGCTGGCCGCAACATCCCTCAAGGCAATCATTCTTTCTGCAAACTTTTTTTGTGACACTGAAGTTATCTCCTGCTGCTTGGCACAGGAACAGTACATCTACAGTTTATAATTACACTGTGGGAACAGGGAATCTTGGGCAAAAAGCAAGTGGTTAACATGTGCAAGCTAGCAAAGGCCTAATCAGAATTCTCATAATTTCAGATACCAAAAAATGCTGGGGTGCTGAAATCTCAAGTGGCCCAATTGCAAGCTGTCCCAGGCTTAAAATCCACTTTGCCCTCGACTTAAAATCAGCTGTTTCTCTGGGAAGCCCTAATTCTTTTCAATAAGAAGTGATTTTTAGAGATATCACCTAGGTGATATGGGTGCTCATTGATATTGGGCTTTCAGTGCTTCTAAACATTTCAGTCAACAGAACTAAGAAATATATGTTTTTTAAATAAAAAAAAATCTTTTTGGCCGATGCGGTGGCTCACGCCTGTAATCCCAGCACTTTGGGAGGCGGAGGCGGGCAGATCACGAGGTCGGGAGATCCAGACCATCCTGGCTAACATGGCGAAACCCCGTCTCTACAAAAAAAAAAATAATAATAAAATTAGCCAGGCGTGGTGGCGGGCGCCTGTAGTCCCAGCTACTCGGGAGGCTGAGACAGGAGAATGGCATGAACCCGGGAGGCGGAGCTTGCAGTGAGCCGAGATCGCGCCACTGCACTCTAGCCTGGGCGGCAGAGCGAGACTCCGTCTCAAAAAATAAATATATATATGTGTGTGTGTGTGTGTGTATTTTTTTTTTTCAGAATTTGTAGTAATTTTTTTCTTGTTTCTAGTGGGGTTGGACATAGTAATATTTTTAATTCAGATTAACAATATAAGGTTTCTACTTCTTTAATTTTTTTCTTGTCTTCCTTTTCTCTTACATGGAAAATCTTGGTTCCCACCAACATTAATACAGTTACCTACTTGCTTTGTCCTATAATGTGTATAAACTAGTTAAAAAAATATAAAATCCAAATAAAAATTACTCAGTTAAGTGAAAACAATATTACAGTTCTTTTTGTCGTTAAAAATTTATACTACTAAGACTTTATAGCTAACATAAAAGTAACCAGATATAGTTCTTTTTTCTGTAAGGTCATGTTACCAACTTGATGATGTTCCATTAATGTATTAATTTCAGTTTATTTTTATGTTGGGGATTGATTGTTTTCTTTTTAGATTAATTTTATTTTTTTTTTGAAAATGTAAAACAGGCACATAGAAGGGAACAACACACACTGGGGCCTATCGGGAGGGAAGAGGGAGGTGGGAGAGAATCGGGAAAATGATGGGTACTAGGCTTAATACCTGGATGATGAAATAATCTGTCCAACAAACCCCATAATAAAAGTTTACCTATATAACAAACCTGCACATGTACCCCGAGCTTCAAAATATAAGTTAAAAAAAGAAAATACGGAGCATTTGTAAGATTCCAAATGTAAAAGATTTATACGATTCTGAAGTCCTGTATAACACACCATTCAGAAAAGTCTTGCTTCCGTCACCCGTCACTAACCCTTCCCCCATTCTCTCTCTCCCCCTGTATGTAATTACTTCCAAATACGTTTAATTTAGCTCTCCAGTATCTCATTTTGAAAATATAAACATATATGTGTGTGCTTAAGCATATTCTTTTTTTTTTGAAACGGAGTCTTGCTCTGTCGCCCAGGCTGGAGTGCGGTGGCGCAATCTCGGCTCACTGCAAGCTCCGCCTCCTGGGTTCACGCCATTCTCCTGCCTCAGCCTCCTGAGTAGCCAGGACTACAGGCACCCGCCACCACGCCCAGCTAATCTTTGTATTTTTAGTAGAGACAGGGTTTCACCGTATTAGCCAGGATGGTCTCCATCTCCTGACCTCGCGATCCGCACGCCTCGGCCTCCCAAAGTGCTGGGATTACAGGAGTGAACCACCGCGCCCGGCCGTGCTTATGCATATTCTTAAATGGAAAAAGCAAGGTAAGTTTTGTAGCATGCTATAATGCTAACTTTCATGTAAGAAAAGAGGAAAATACTGTATCTTCTATGCCCAAAATGAATAATGCTAGTCATTTCTCAGTTCCATAAATCAGCAGTGATCAGGGTTGCAATAGAAGGTGAAGCAAATAAATTGAAGTAATTGTTGATAATTCAAACAAAAGATTCATCTTGTATTAATTACCTGAACTATTTGAATTTGTGTTGGCATCTATATTTCTATTTGTTTTCTGCTCCTAAAACTGAGTTTCTGTTTACCATAACCAATACTATATTTACTTTATGTGTTTTTATAATGCTTGAATTATTTCAGACAAATTTACTTTCTCTGTGCCTCAGTTTCCAAATGTTGGATTGGACAAGAGGTGACCTTTTAAGTTGTCTTTCAGCTTTAACATTGTTCTAAGAGAGCTGTCTTAAGCCTTGTAATAGCTGCCGTAATCCACTAGATGTCAATGCAACATAGCAACCTATTTTGGGCATTTACGCCTCTATATCCTAGTTTTAAAACTAGGAGAAAATTAGAAAATTTTATCGATCTGTTATTTATTTTTGTTAAAAGTTAAAAGTAAAATACTCCCTTAAAAAATACAACACATAATCCTGTTCTACCTAAAAGAATATAAACAACTTCAATAGAATTAATATTTTCACAGGTATCATTTTTCCAGTGCTTAAGTTTAAAAATTCAGTTTTCAAATCAACATGTACAGACTCTTCCCTATAAGAGTAGTGGAATACAGAATTGAAAATAAATTGTTTAGTCACTAAGTAACATTGTAAGATGTGGTATATTTAGGAGAAAAGAACGAAATTTGTTCAATATAATCCCAGATAATGGTGATCGTTGCCAAAACAGTATGATGTTTAGATCTAAATTGTTTCTTTAGTGTGAAATTATTTATTAAATTATTAATTTAATAATCTTCTTGACATATTTTTAAGTCCCTCATGAAAAATTCAGAATTATTCTGCAAATAAAAATGACATTATTTATCCTCCTTGAAAAAAGGGATGAAATAAATTTTAATACAGAATGATGTTATGTTTAAGTCATAACATTGGAAAGAGTGGTTTATTTTTTCATTAAAACCTTAAATGTATCAGGGAGAGGAAATTACTGGTGTTGCAAGTTTGTCTAGTTTTTTAAAATTCTACGTTTTACTTATGTACCATTATAAATAATATGCTTAGCATGTTTGGATTTCAAGGGCATTTTCTCTCTCTCTTTCTCTCTCTTTCTCTCTCTCTCTCTCTCTCTCTCTCTCTCTCTCGACCTGTAATTTTTCCTATCCAGGGACTGCGAAAACTAGGAAATGCACAACAGTAAAAGGAATAATGCGAGTCATTTCTCAGTTCCCTAGAACAGCAATGATCAGGGTTGCAATAGAAGGTGAGGCAAATAAATTGAGATAACTGTTGATAATTCAAATAAAAGTTTCATCTTGCATTAATTACCTGAACTATTTGAGTTTATGTTGTAATCTCAAACGTAAACTGCTGATAAGAAAGTTTTTAATGTAGAATTATTTACTTTCATTAAAGTCAGAATAGTAATCCATACTCAGTAAGATTAGTTTCTATCTGCTTCAACCAATCGAAGTCTATATTTTTCATTTTTTCTTTGTGAAATCATTGCTAAAACAGCCACCAATTTAACAAAATGACACGTTCTACTCTAGAATTACAGTGTTGCTTGAACTTTAGTGCATAGACATGGCTTTTATCTAGCAATAATGTTGTAGATCGCTTTGTCTTTCCTCATGGAAGAAATAATACACAACACTCCTGGGAGTTTTGCATCATTTTTTGGCAATTAGCTTGTATGGGGTTTCTAGGAGGTCACAAAAAGATTCAGAGGTGTAAGCTTTTTCTTAAAAGTATGTGATCTCTATATGATTTTCTTTTAAGTTTATCTTTGATGCACTTTGAACAAGCTAAAGGTGTGATACTGACAACCTCCAGCACTAATACAGGAAAGAAAGATACATATTCTTCAGTGATTTCCTTCTGCAGGGAATTCCTTCTTTGGGGAAAGACTTTGCAGCATCATCAACGTTGAGGTTTGCAGGAGAAAGCCACCTTAGCGGCAGGCCTTCCAGAGGGTGGAAGTGGAGAGAGGGTGGCGGAGCTGGATGGAGACCTTTCCAGGGTGGGTCACCAGGGTCTCCGTGCAGGAGCCAAGCGGCAGCCTAATAAAAATTTGTTTAAAACGAAAATTACAATAAAGCCCCGGATTAGTGCCAATTCTACATAAAATGACAGTGGTGTTTGCATTTATACCCTACTTGTCTGCAAAGAATTTGAGGTATCAGGCTGGACGTGGTGGCTCACGCCTGTAATCCCAGCACTTTGGGAGACTGAGGCGGGCAAATCAAGAGGTCAAGAGATAGAGACCATCTGGGGCAACATGGTGAAACCCCGTCTCTACTAAAAATGCAAAAATTAGCCGGATGTGGTGGCATGCGCCTGTAGTCCCAGCTACTTGGGAGGCTGAGGCAGGAGAATCCTTTGAACCCGAGAGGTGGAGGTTGCAGTGAGCCGAGATCATGCCATTGCACTCCAGCCTGGCGACAGAGTGAGCCTCTGTCTCAAAAATAAACAAAATAATTAATTAACCAAAAAAGGAATTTGAGGTATCAAAAGATGAAGAAAAACAAACAGTAGGAAGGAAGTCAATAGACAGGGAAATATGACATCAGTATTAAGCTTTATGAAAACTCTTAATACAAGGAGGAAAAGTAATAGCTATTCATTTGGCAGCCTCAACTACCAAATTACCTTAGAACAAAGAATTAATGTAAACATATGGGAGAATGCTATTTAAACCTGATTTGATGTGACTGTTTACCTTGATATTATATTTATACCTATGTATATATATAAAATAGCAAAATATCTTTATCAATGTCTGTATCAATTTATCCTTTATCTAGCTATATCCCCTTGTTATCTCAATAATTTAGAAGTTGTCATATCTTTTTTACAAATGAAATTTTATAATTATGAAAGGAATATGTATTTGTTTCAGAACATTTGGAAAATAAAAATTAAATTTAAGCCCATCAGCACTTTGGGTTATTCCCATTTGTTTAATGTTTATTTTCATAATTATACAAATATAAATTTGAGTCTTGAATTTTCATTTGACATTATATCATGACAAATTTCCAAGTGATTAAATATGCTTTGGAAGCATCTTTGTAGTGACTGTGTAATATTCTGTCAAATACATAAATTATAAATAATTTACTCCTACCATTGGATATTTTGATTATTGCAGATGCTTCACCACTATAAATAATACTGAAGTGAGCATCTTTGGATATACATCTGTCAACCTATGTCTAATTATGGTATTTCTATAGAAGCAGAATTAAGATCTATTAAATTTTTGAGATAACTGTCAATTTCTTTTCCTAAAATTAAGATCAATTTCCATTCTTACAAATAATGGATAAGTGCCTGTTTTAGTTGAGAATTAACATTTAAAGCATTTGTCAATTATACAGATTATAAACCATACCTTATTGTGTTTTTATTGCATTTTTCTTTATAAGTGAGTTTGGTCATTTAAAAATATGTTTATTGCTGCCAGGCATGGTGGCTCACACCTGTAATCCCAGCACTTTGGGAGGCTGAGGTAGGTGGATTGCCTGATGTCAGGAGTTTGAGACCATCCTGGCCAACATGGTGAAACCCCGTCTCTACTAAAAATACAAAATTAGTCGGGTGTGATGGTGCATGCCTGTAATCCCAGCTACTTGGGAGGCTGAGGCAGGGGAATTGCTTGAACCAGGGAGGTGGATGTTGCAGTGAGCCAAGATTGCACCACTGCACACCAACCTGGGCAACAGAGCAAGATTCCATGTCAAAAAAAGAAAAGTACATATATATACATATATATATGTATAGCAATTAACATTTTCCCATTTAAGAATTGTCTGTTTATGTTCTTATTTATTAGAATATTAGTAATTTTAGAACTTTTTATTATAAATTAAGAATGCAACCTCTTGTCAAAATTATTTCTATCCAATTATTTACTTTTAAATGTTATTATTTTGTGCAGAAGTTTTGATTTTATTACATCATGTAATCTCTTTCATTGTCTATCTTAGAAAATTCTTTCTTACCTTCATATCAGTTAAAAATACACATCTGTTTTCATCCAGTGTTTTAGAATTTCATTGTTTATACTAAAGTCTTTAATAAATCCTTTAGTACAGTATGAGTTGCTTATCTTAATTGTTCTTGAAATGGATAATTTTCTAAAGTTTTGTTGAATAAGTAAATCATCTTTTTTGCATTTGTTTATGATTTTTTTTTACAATATACCAGTTTCTTATATTTAGGATTTTTTTCAAACTGTTTTGTTCTATCGCTCTATCTTTTAATTTTTTTCATCAATACCATACAATTTATATTGTAATAGTCAACATTTTAAAACACATCATTCCTTTCTTGTTTGGTTTCAAGTATTATTGAACTATTATTGCTTGTTAATTCTTCCAGAATCATTTTGGGAAGTGTCTTCATCTCAGATAAAATCTCATTGCCATGTTATTTTTATTTGTTTTTCATTAACATATAAGAATTAATTTAGGAGGAATTACAGTCATGCATTGTTCTAGACAGGAAATTTTAAAATTACGTTTTATTATTCCTCTCTAAAAGTGTATAGTTTTCTAGAAATAGGACCTGCTTCCTATCTTATAGGGTTGTTCCTAGGTAGTGTATGTCATCCCATGGCTATTGGATTTTGTATGTTTATTTTGTATCCATTCACTCCAATGAACTCTAAGATTGTTAATTAATTTTGGGGGATATTCTGGGATATATAATACCATATGCAAATAATGAGAATTGCTGATATAAATTATTAAGGCTTGTTGAAGGTAGATTTTGATAATATACTCAAAACACAATTTAAATTTCTCACTAAAAAGGAATAGCCACTAGTTTTTTATTTATGAATTTACATTTTGTTATTAGATTTAAGAGTTAATAAAATGATTTTATTCTTATATAAAATATTTTTATTTTAATATCATAAGTAAAATAAGAAATCTGAAATTTTTAAACAGTAAAATGTACCTACATATGTTTTTGATGTCGTAGTACCCAAAGCACTAGAAATAAAATGTTATATCTAACAAAATAACATTGAAATTACACATAAAATAAATCATGATTGTATTCTGCATTATCATGATCTTCCATAAATAAAATACAAATTAGCTCTGCATTTAGTTAAGGAAATCTTTGCTAACTAGATAATTTTTTAAGAAACAATTTTTCTTCATTTGAAATCTTTGGCAACATAGCCCACATACTTTACTTTGGCAGAAAGGTTCTTAATAGTATTAACATGAACTTAACCCTGCACCAGTACAGACATTACTATTACGTTTTGAACTAAAATAATCTAATTAAAAAACACTATCTGAAATAAAACAAATCGCCTCTGCTTACAGTGCAGTTATGTTTACTTTAGAAGTATGTGGGGAAAATACATGCTAGTAAATTTAATTGAAACGAAATATGTTTCTGACTTGTAATAAATTTGCTTTAAAAATAGTAGTTTGATATGTCTACTAGAACATTTACTAGCTGTATTTCAATTTTTCTTTTAATGTATATTCATAATTAGAATTTGTAGTATTATGCAAAATTGATATTATAAAATTATAAAATGCTGAGTTTTGCATTTAATTAATTAATTAATTAATTTTATCCTAAGGACAAATAATGAAATTCATTGACTGATAATAAATTTGCTAAGCTCTTAAAAAATGAACAACATTCAGAGAGATTATTAAATAAATCCACGTAAAAGAATATATATTAGGAAGTCATTTTATATCATTTCTTGGAGAACTACATGAGACAGAGATCTCTAATAACATAATAAAAATAATTTTTTCCTAGATACATTTATGCTAGAATAAATTGAAATTGATTCATGAACATAATTTAACAATTAAGATGTCCGTATCCTTCAACAATGTGAAAATGATAAAGCTTGATTCTTATTCTTCTCATTGCTTCATCTTTAAACTTTATGTAGCAAAAATGTTTTTATGCACATTATCATCATATTTTTCATCTTAAACAGTTTCAGTAAAATGCATTGTTGTTCACTTAAAACAAAATAGAAAATATTTTTATGTTGGTGTATTGTCTGGTGCAAAATATATTTTTTAATATTTCTGGTAAAGTATCTTAAGGGATTTCCAATCTTCTGATCATTGGGGTTTGGTCACTAATATCACTACTAATTCACCAGGGTTAATGCTTTTAAAAAACAAAACTGCATTTGCCATCCTCTAAATAAAACAAAGCTATGAGCTTATTTGCACAAAGACACAGAGCCAATTAATTTGACTTCAG